TAAGAACCTTTCTTGAATTTGTCGTATTTTTTCGGCTGTTTTGCTCAAAAATTATCTCGCAAGTTTGTTTATAAAACTTTATATTCATATATAAAAATTATCTCGCAAGTTTGTTTATAAAACTTTATATTCATATATATAAAAATTATCTCGCAAGTTTGTTTATAAAACTTTATATTTCAAACTTCTATTTCACGAAAACTGTTCATATGAAAGTCTGGCTATTTCACGAAACATTACAACCGAGATATGGCAACCTGTTTGGCCGTTTTTTGTTCAAAATAGTGGATACACAAGCTTCATAAGGCGCTTTCCTCGGTTTGCAACAGGTCTGTCGCAAGTTGTTGACAACAGCATTGCTGCAGCTCTGTGTCAACAACTTGCGACAGGCCTGTTGAAAACAGCATTGCTGCAGCTCTGTCACAACAGCTTGTAACAGACCTGTTGAAAACAGCATTGCAGCAGCTCTGTCACAACAGCTTGTAACAGACCTGTTGACAGGCCGTTGCCGGTCTGTCAGAACAGACAGGTACAAGGCGAGCGAACGCATCCAGATATCGGCTTGTTGACAACAGGATTTAACAGATCTGTTGCAGATCTGTTCCGACTTGCGCGTTTCTGGCTGTGTAGGTAGTGTAAACAGAATGCACATGTGTAATCAGCCCATAACTTAATTACGGGTATCAGGGCCGCCGAGAGGTTGGCGGGGGCCCGGGGCAAATTTGTTTCTAGAGGCCCCTATTTCAAAATATTTTTCAGAAAATTTTTTTTTCGGACAACAACCTTTCCCCCCCCCCCTCCCCCGTCGACAACTTTTTAGGTAAAAATTTTTTGAATTTCGGTACTTAGCCCAGAATTACCAAATTTCGGTACTTAGCCCAGAAAAAACAGATATCTTGTCCTTTGCGCGGAAGTTTTTAACGCACAAAAATTACTGGGGCCCAACTAAAAATTTTCAGGGCCCCCAGCACCTCGGGGCCCGGGGCAATTTGTCCCCCCTCCCGGCGGCCCTGACGGGTATACTACATCAATGCCCTCAATAGTCGTTATGATACAGAAAGAAAGATTTATTATGCACATTGATATTAACATTTACAAATTATCTGTTGAGATGTAGAACTTAATATTATAAATTTAGATTGGATGTGCGCAGTAGCCAAAGTAGCGTGAGCTTTCAAGTTGGCTACTGCATGTTAATAATTTTACATGGAATATAATAGAAAGTAGAAGATCGTTATGGCAAAGTAAACATATCAATGCTTAGCATGATTTTAGCTCAGATGATCCAAGAACGTGGAAGACAATATGTTTAAGATATAACTGTCCTCCAAATATAAATAATGAAATAGCTTACTGTAGCTGAAGGCGATGTTGCGCTGCAGCGGCTTGCAGCACAGTTTCTGTCGCAGACTCGTGTTATCCCAAAGGCACGACATTCTTTATTCTATTACTTTCACTTTCCATCCTTTTAAGACTGTTTATCTACGATTTGTGGCGGAGGTTGCCTCGTGTGGCATGGCCTTTACTATTCATAGAATTTGATTTTATAGTTTGTTATATTTGTTAACAAGGACCAACAGCATAATTGGTTTATACTGTCGTTGTGTCCCCGTCATTCGCAGTTAGATTCAATGATGTGCATGTTCTGCTGTTGTAATGTCATGCATGTATGTATATGTACGTTTGTGATGGCGAAGTTTAATAAATAAATAAATTCGCTGGCGAAGGCATGCAGTCTTCTAGTGCGCTCTAGTTAAAATTTGGCTTTTCTTCAATACAAGTATTCATTCAGAAAGCATGTACATGCTGAACTTTAGGTTTTCTTAATACCACTGAGAATGAAAAAGCAATCTATTGTTCGGAAGCTTGTGAATGGACACTATTAATATAATAGAAACAACTGGTCTTTACTAGAAAACAAGAATATTCCTACTTTATTTCTTTATTTTTTGTGTCTTTCTAGCCTGCAAATGCCCTCCAGTGCAAACATTTAAAGAAATATTAGGACCTGGTGAGAGCAAGGCTTTCGTTACGTGGAAGGAACCAACTCCTAATTGCGAAGTGACGTTGGAGGCTTCTGATAGTACTGCTCCAGATGGATTATTTACCGTTGGAAAACACACAAGACAATATACATACAGTCATGAAATTGGCTTTAGTATGACTTGTGATGTAAATATCGAAGTGGAAGGTATGTTTGGTTACTTGCAGGGCCTCTTTTAGGATATAAACGAGCACGTTTCCCCCAGCCCCAATGCGCCCAGCCCCAATGTTTCCCATCCCCCAAGTAAGCGAAATAATTACAAAAATATTCTCGGTGCATAGACCTAGCTGGCTCCTCAGGAGGTTGGGCCCTCAGTGCCTGCGTATACTATTCCGCGGTTCCGCCACATATGATAATTTCAAACACCTGCTCTTCGAAATTATATTGGGAAGGCCCTGATCACAAGCTGATACCGTTTAGTGATATTAAAGGGGAAGGGGCCTCCTCGCCCTTGGCTCCCCTCTAGTTTGGTCGTGTGGAGTAAGCTGAATATTAATGTCTATTTCTCTAACATGTCATTTCTTTCAATTAGTTTGTGAGTGTCCAACTCAAACCGTTAATGGAGTAATAGGACCTTCTAGAACACAAGGTCTAGCCAGTTGGGAAATACCAGAACCCACATGTCCAGCAGAACCAAAGCAACCGATACCAGAGTTTAACGGTTTGTTTACTAAAGGGGAACACACAGTGCAATATGTCTATACTCACAAAAGTGCCAGCAATACATTTGATATAACATGTGATGTGAATATCAACATGGAAGGTACGTATTAAATGTGCGATGCCTCGGAACTGACGGAAGCTCTGGCATCATCCATATATCTCCTCCAGAAGACTATGTTTAATTAATACCCGCATTTGTATGTCTGTTTGTCAGCACAATAACTTAAAAAAATATCAAACGTATTAATACGAAATGGACTGATGGACATTGCCTAACGACAAAGTGATTCAATGTTGGTTAAAATTTGCCTTTTCTTTAAAATAAGTGTTCAGTCAGAAAGCACATGCATACATACTGAACTTTAGGTTTACTTAACACCACTGAAATGCAAAATCAATCTGTTGTTTGGAAGCTTTTGAATGGAAAATATTAGTATAATAGAAACAACTGGTTTATACTAAAAAAACAAGAATTCCTACTTTATTAATTCGCATTTGTTTGTGTCTTTGTAGCCTGCAAATGCCCTCCAGTGCAGACATTTAAAGAAATATTAAGACCTGATGAGAGTAAGGCTTTCGTTACGTGGCAGGAACCAACTCCTAATTGCGAAGTGACGTTGGAGTCTTCTGATAGTACTGCTCCAGATGGATTGTTTACCGTTGGAAAACACACAAGACAATATACATACAGTCATGAAACTGGCTTTAATATGACTTGTGATGTAAATATCGAAGTGGAAGGTATGTTTGGTTACTTGTAGGGCCTCTTTTAGGATATAAACGAGCACGTTTCCCCCAGCCCCAATGCCCCCAGCCCCAATGTTTCCCATCCCCCAAGTAACCGAAATAATTACAGTGCATAGAACTAGCTGGCTCCTCAGAGATTGGGCCCTCAGTGCCTGCGTATACTATTCCGCGGTTCCGCCACATATGATAATTTCAAACACCTGTTCTTCGAAATTATATTGGGAAGGCCCTGATCACAAGCTGATACAATTTAGTGATATTAAAGGGGGAGGGGCCTCCTCGCCCTTGGCCCCCCTCCAGTTTGGTCGTGTGGAGTAAGCTGAATGATGTCTCTATTTCTTTCATTTAGTTTGTGAGTGTCCAACTCAAACCGTTAATGGAGTAATAGGACCTTCTAGAACACAAGGTCTAGCCAGTTGGGAAATACCAGAACCCACATGTCCAGCAGAACCAAAGCAACCGATACCAGAGTTTAACGGTTTGTTTACTGAAGGAGAACACACAGTGCAATATGTCTATACTCACAAAAGTGCCAGCAATACATTTGATATAACATGTGATGTGAATATCAACATGGAAGGTACGTATTAAATGTGCGATGCCTCGGAACTGACGGAAGCTCTGGCATCATCCATATGTCTCCTCCAGAAGACTATGTTTAATTAATACCCGCATTTGTATGTCTGTTTGTCAGCACAATAACTTAAAAAAATATCAAACGTATTAATACGACTGACTGATGGACATTGCCTAACGACAAAGTGATTCAATGTTGGTTAAAAATTGCCTTTTCTTTAAAATAAGTGTTCAGTCAGAAAGTATATGCATACATACTGAACTTTAGGTTTACTTAACACCACTGAAATGCAAAATCAATCTGTTGTTTGGAAGCTTTTGAATGGAAAATATTAGTATAATAGAAACAACTGGTTTATACTAAAAAACAAGAATTCCTACTTTATTAATTCGCATTTGTTTGTGTCTTTGTAGCCTGCAAATGCCCTCCAGTGCAGACATTTAAAGAAATATTAAGACCTGATGCAAGCAAGGCTTTCGTTACGTGGCAGGAACCAACTCCTAATTGCGAAGTGACGTTGGAGTCTTCTGATAGTACTGCTCCAGATGGATTGTTTACTGTTGGAAAACACACAAGACAATATACATACCGTCATGAAACTGGCTTTAGTATGACTTGCGATGTAAATATTGAAGTGGAAGGTATGTTTCTTGGTGATTGGACAACACAACACAACACAACACAACACAACACAACACAACACAACACAACACAACACAAATGTATTTAAGAACGGTAAAATCTTCAGCATATATAGATATCCTAACTAACATACAACGACAAGAACAAGATCTGAAAATAACTACAGCTGGTTTACAATAACTACTACAGGTTAACGCTTACATTATTATGGTACTCGTCTATAGCTTTCTTAAACTGTGATAACGGTTGAAGCTTTCGATTATCATGAAGAAGACTATACCACAATAGAACCCCACTATAACAAAAGCTTTGCTTTAAATAGTTTGTTCGCGGCTTGGGCAAATTTAATCTCATTTCAGAGTTTCTTATAGGTCGTACCCTGTGCCACGAATTGAAAAGAAATCACGTAAATAAGAAGGCGTATTTCTTAATTAAGTGTTTTAAAAATTAGACCAGCCTTCTCAGCAAATGCTCTTCAAAATTATATATATTGGAATTCCTGACCATAAGCTGCTACCTTTTAGTGACTTTACGAGACTATTAAAGAGGAGGGAATATAAAAGGGAGAGTAAGCAGTGAATAATTTATCATGTTATTTCTTTCATTTAGCTTGTGAATGCCCAACTCAAACCGTTAATGGGGTAATAGGACCTTCTAGAACCCAAGGTCTAGCCAGTTGGGAAATACCAGAACCCACATGTCCAGCACATCCAAAGCAACCGATACCGGAGCCTAAGGGTTTGTTTACGGAAGGAGAACACACAGTGCAATATGTCTATACTCACAAAAGTGCAAGCAATACCTTTGATATAACATGTGATGTGAATATCAACATGGAAGGTACGAATTAAATGTGTGATGCCTCAGAAGCTATAGCATTATAATCTCCGCCTGGAAGTTATCATCTCATGCAGCCAAGAGCCGCGTTTGTGTGTTTGTTTGTCAGCACGGACTAATAGGAAAATTTGTGGGACTAGTGGATATTCCCCAAGGACAAATTGTAAAAAAATAAAAACATTAAAAAAATATCAAACGTACTAAATAGGAAAATTTGTGGGACTACAAATTGTTTAAACTTTGGTTAATAAACTTGGATGAAAATTACATGAGAAATTAGCAAAAGTTTGTCTTGCTTCGCTGTGCAGTGTGCAGTGTAAACTAAATTCGTAATTAGCCCATTGTACAATTTATGCACGGTAAATAACTTAATTCACTGTAGAGATATGCAGTCTCCAAGTGCCCTTTGTAGTTAAAATTTCCCTTAAAGGGAAATGGCAATATGTTTTTTTTATTTTCTCATTTGAAAGAACAATTGAAACTATATAATTATTAAGTTCTTTTACCGCTTTTTCATATCTTGCTTAGTTCTTGAAATATTTGCACTTGAAGTAATCAGATGTCCGCCAACTTGGATATATTTTTTATCTCATTAACGGCAGTTTTGGTGACGCCACAACAGGGATTAACCATATAAAAGTACTCGTTGTTGACCAAATATTGACTGGTAGATGTTTTAAAGGTTTTGAGTGATCTTGATATTTCGAAGGGCAGACAGAGTATAGTTTTGAGTGCAAAATGATCAGTGGTTGTGTAGATAAAAACATTGTGTGACCCTGTTGTGACGTGACATGCAAATCTACAAAAATTGAAGATGGCGGACATTTCATTCCTTTCGATCAAAATATTTGTAGAAGTAAGCAAGATATGAAAAAACGGTAAAATAAGTTAATATATAGTTTCAAATGTTCTTTCAAATGAGAAAATAAAAAACTATATTGCCATTTCCCTTTAATATAACTATTTATTCAGAATGCATACATACTAAACTTTAGGTTTACTTAATACCACTGTCACTGAAAATGCAAAATCAATCTGTTGCTCGGAAACTTCTGAATGGAAAATATTATAGTATAATGGAAACAACTGGTTTTTACTAGAAGACCATGCCCCGATATACAAGTCAGATCTACTTCAGCTGTACCAAACACTGTTGGTTTTTAATATGCGAGTTTTTACTGGATTCAAGTTATTACCGCTACAGAAGGAATATACTTAATTCCAATACTTTAATTCGTATTTGTTTGTGTCTTTCTAGCCTGCAAATGTCCTCCAGTGCAGACATTTCAAAAAACAATAAGCCCTGGTGAGAGCAAGGCTTTCGTTACGTGGCAGGAACCAACTCCTAATTGCGAAGTGACGTTGGAGTCTTCTGACAGTACTGCTCCAGATGGATTATTTACTCTTGGAAAATACACAAGACAATATACATACCATCATGAAGCTGGCTTTAGTATGACCTGCGATGTAAATATCGAAGTGGAAGGTATGTTTTGTTACTTGTAGGGCTTCTTTTAGCATATACACTGGGAGGCAAGCAGTTTCCCCCACCCCCGCCCGGTCCTACCCCCACCCCCGCAAACAATGTTGGATTCCCAGTTAAGGTCCCTCAAGTGTAAAATGTAAGCAGAGTGAGAAGAAAACTTTGTTGGCAAGAATGTTTAATATTCATATGGATAAACCTCTTTCTCAATGGACCATTCCCCAATTAACCAAAATTTTGATCTCAACAAATCTAGACAAAATTCCATCATAGCATGAAAGAGCATCACAAAATTAGTAATATTCCAAAGTTTCGTTGCGAAATGTTGTAAAATGCGGCTAATATAGCCTTGCGAAATTTGCAATTTTCAGTCATTTTAGATTACAAACGGGAAACGGTTACCACTTTTCCAAAATCTTGATCTTAACTAGCCTAAACAAAAATTTCATCACAGCTCGAAAGAGCATCACAAAATTAGTAATATTCCAAGTTTCGTTGCAAAATGTTGTAAAATGCGGATAATATAGCCTTGCCAAGTTTTTAATTTTCAGTCATTTTGTATTACTCACAGAAGTGGTAACCATTTCCCGTTTGTATATTATCCGCATTTTACAACATTTTGCAACGAAACTCTGGAATATTACTGTTTGTCTAGACTTGTTGAGTTCAAAATTTTAGTTAATTGGGGAATGGTCCATTAATTTAAACATGTCAAAAAGGTGTGTCGGAAAATGCAGGAAAACAAGCCCCGGAGACTCAAAATTTCCTAAGGGTCTTCCCCCTGATCCAAAACTGGGACTGAGCAGAGCAACTTCTTGAATTCGGTGCTCCTGACCAGCCAATTATGACGCTAGAACAGTAAGAACGAGAAGAGATTTCTAAATGTAACTGCCCGCAACGGAGTTTATGCTAATTTGCTTTATTAAAAGGCTATATACAGTAGCTAGGGTTTCACGCTTGAAAAAGATGAGCTTAGCTGGTGTCTTTTAGTGGGTATAAGGCATGGGTATAGGGAGTGTAAACATACATAAAAATAGCCCAGGCCTGACGTAGTCAGCTAAGGCCATAAAATCTGGGCCGACCGTTAACGTTGGTCTAGGTCTGGCCCAACCCATAATCCTTTGAAACGGCAAAAACTTGGGGGGAAAGTAAATAAATCTTTACTCAAACAATTTGAGTAAATTTGAAACTTGATTAATTTTATTCAAATTTTTGAGTTTGGTTTTTTTTGCAATGATAGCATGGTAAACAATGTAAATGTGTTACAATTACTGGGGCATTGCTTGGCTGAAGTCACGGCTCGCAGTGTAGACATGGCCTTGCAGCAAGTCTGTAAAAACTATTTTCTTTTCTTATCCAGGAGAGTTATGCCGTGGAAAGGCAATCAATCCTGATACCGAGGTGTGCTGCTGTGGTGAGGTACATCGCGCTCAAAGTGGGTACAAGTGCTGTGGCGTGGAATACTATAACACGTTGGCACATGAGTGTTGTGATGAAACGAGAGCGAATATCGTGCCGAAAGGAGAAAGATGCCCAAATGCCGTTTATTACGTAAAATAGACTTGAACTAAATGATTTAAGTCGCAAAAGAACTGTGTACTTGTAGTTCAAAGTATGTATCTATGGATATGTCATTTGTGTTCAATTTAACATAAATTATGTTGTTGTAGGCAGCATATTACAGTATATCAATACCTAAGTAAGCCTTGCATACAGTTCTAAAGTAAGGAGCATTAAAAAAAGAAAAGGCCAATTTTCAATAATGTACAGGAATTCTTATGCAGGTGAATCAAATTTTAGAAATATGTAGAGAACATACGTTAATATTACAAGTACTAATTAATAAATTAATAAACTTTTTAAAGATATTGTTGGCTGTTAATGTTTTTATATATTTCAAAAACTCATTAATAATTCATGAAGCAATATATCCAATCTTGAGTAAGAAATTAGTCACATGCATACGTCTTTATACCAGCTAAAGAACACTTTAACAAAAGACCATTGTTATGCAAACTATATAAAGATTTTTATATAAAGATTTTTATATAAAGATTTTTATATAAAGATTTTTCATATTCAGATTTGACTTATTATGCAAACGTTTTTGAAGCCATTTAAAAAACTCGCAGGTCGTGTTTTATTAGGCCTAAAGCCACTCGCGCTGCGCGCTCGTGGCTTTAAACCTAATAAAACACTCCCGCTCGTTTTTTAAATAGTACATAAAGTAGGTAATTGGACAAGTACTGGACAGGTGTTAGATATTGTTTGGACTAGAAAATGAGAAGCCCCTGACTAAGCGTCCACTGTTGTTTAGGAGAACATGATTGGCAGACCAACATGGCAGCATATACCGGTACTAACAAGACTGGCCTCCTTTCATATCATATTTATTATAATCAGTTCCTTGTACAGCCAATTGCAATTGAGCTTGCAGCTTGCATTTTAAACGCGTTGTTACATCGTTGTTCACAACAACATTGAACTCGTTATACGTTTATTTGTGCGCTCTTCAGAGTTCAACAACGCCCACAAAAAGTTCACGTTACGCTCCAAGCAAGGGCGTGTTTCCACTTCCCAAGGAATGCATGCATACTTTTCAACGATGTAACAACGCGTTTAAAATTGAAGCTGCAAGCTCAACTGCAATTGGCTGTATGAGTGAACGATGAAATACCCAGGGGCCGGTTGTTCAAAGCTGGGTTAGCTTAACCCTAGGTTAACCTAAAATTCAAAGCAATCTTCCTGACTGCTTGTCTATAAATTTGGAAATATTTCTTCAGAGATCTTATCTGGATCAATAGGAATTTACTGATCTTGTCTGGATCAATAGGAGTTTACTTTGAGAGTTTGTTCTCTGAAATTTTGAAATAAACAGACGTGCAGAAACACACAAACTAAAACAGCATGTTAAATATTAGCCCAGGGTTAGCGCTAACCCACCTTTGAACAACCGGCCCCAGGAGGCCAGCCTTGGAAACATGACATATATATTTATGTATTTGGCAAACTTAGCCTTCATGTCAGGTAATTATGACTGGTGTCAGGTAATTATATGGATCAAGCGATTTGCTTAGTATATAAATCGTAAATATAGTTATGTTCCACAACACAATTTTAACAAATATATTAATATTCTTATAGTTATAATCAGAATTTCAAATAGCATGGTGGATCTCATCTAGCCATATTTTTTGACCCAAGATTAATACTAAGTGTGTTTGTGGCATATGGAGTACAATTTATCAACAAATTTATTTTTAAAAAATTTAATTAACTTTTTTTACTGTAAATGTAAGCTGAGTTAGAGGGTGACCAGTGAATATCATGAACCTGTTTTTGTTTATTTCTTGTTAATTCAATATGCATTTATATCCCTGTAACGTACAGTATTTTGCAATTCACAATCACTACCCATCAAATGTTCCACTTTATATAGTAAATTAACATGTATCACCTGTTTAGGTTAGCCTGTAATGGTTAATACAGATGACATTCAGGGCTGCCCAGAGGGGGGGGGGGGGCAAAGGGGGCAAATTGCCCCGGGCCCCAAGTTGCTGGGGGCCCCTGAAAAATTTTTGTTGGGCCCGAGCCTTTTTGTGTGTTAAATTTTTCCGCGCAAAGGACAAGATGTCTGTTTTCTTCGGGCTAAGTACCGAATTTTGGCATGAAAAAATGAGATAAAGTCCCTCGAAAGCAATTGCAATGTACTCGTCCGGAAAAATTTTTTACCCCTAAAATGGTACACCGACCGAAAATTTTTTTGCGACGGAAGGTTGTTCTCCGGAAAAAATTTTTTCCAGGAAATTTTTTTTACATAGGGCCCCTAAAAAAAAATTTGCCCCGGGCCCCCGCCAACCTCTGGGCGGCCCTGATGACATTGTACTGTACTTCTATCACTGGCAGTAAAATCAATTGTCCAGCTCCTTAATATTTGTAAGGTTAGTTCAATTATAAATGTTGTTGTCGTTGTTGCCATTATGTCTCCAATATGCTTGGAGCAAAAGAAATTTTACACACACACCCTGGCCATCCTGGGAATGACTTGGCCCACACCTTAGCTTATCAAGAAGACTGGGACTTATCCCACTCTTCCATTTCAAATTTCAGAAATTATCCTAATACCATGTTACCTTCCACCACAACAAATTTATGAATAGGTTTCAAAATTTTACTGCAATTTTACTGTAGGCATTATTAAACTCCCAGTGTGTTTGGAAAGACAAAATGATGCACACCTAATAACTAGCATAAAGAGTGGGATTCCTTGAACTCCTGCCCTTTCTTTCCTGGAATGGCCTCATCGACCCCCCCCCCCCTCTTTCTATTAAACACACACCCTTCCATCTTCATATAAATGTGTAATTTGTGAAATTACTGAAATAGAGCCTGATACTCAGGCTAAGCCTCCATCTACCTCAAATCTACAAAATTCAACTTCCAACTGCGGACCGTGGCATCACTAATGAAACTTGTGCTTTCACAGTGTCCAGCTATTGTAAAACTTTATAGCCTGCCTTCCCAACCAAATCTTCTTTAACTTCTTATATTAGTTTTTGTTAAGATTATATTAAATAAAAAAAACTTTTTTATATCCAACACTGAATATATTAAAACAAACGTTTTAATTTTATAATAATTTACTAAATCTTACCATTTCCTTGTGCTTTCTTCACGGCCTTGTATTACTTCATTTCACCAAGCAAGCCTGTATATAAAAAAATTAAAGAAATATATTAAAATATTTTCAAAGACCCTTCAAAGTTCAAAGTGAAGGTATAATACACACAACAAAATACACATCTAAATTTTTTTACCTTTTCCCAAGCTTAAGGACACGGTAAATAAGTGTAAAATTGCAAACAAAAACATGTTTATAAACGAAATAAAACATGTTTACATTTTTGAAGTTTCATAAATTCCGCCATTTTTACATTTCAACGCATGCGCAGAACCGCAGAAAGTATCTCGACGAGAAACCGACAGTTTCCGATTATGCCCCGAATATTTCCAAAATGGAAGGCCGAAGGAAAGCAAATGTCTGTAAAAAATTTGTATTTAGTGTACCCACTGATGAAGGCCACATTTATAAAAAATCTTATTTAAACTTTCATGTTTTGTTCACATATTTTCTAATTATTTTGAAACTTATTAAAGATCATTAAAATAATTTGATATCCGGGCCTTTCGGAATTCGGATGAAAGGAAAAAATCAAAAGAAAATGTAGTTTACTAGTTTCTCACACAAACGAAAGGAAATATATAAAATTCTTATTGACACCTAATCCCAGAACACCTAGTTTACTTCATTATTTAGTTTAATTAGTAAAGAAATCAAATCAACAAATAACGGCTTGAAACAGCCGTCCATGGTAAAGGACGGTCTTGAGATTGTAGGTCAGTGCAAGTTTGTTGTCGAGTTTTCACAGAGTGAAAGACACCATATTGTATTTCACTTCAGTCTTATCAAGAACTCGCCAACACAGGGACGCCGGAACGATGTGGGGGCAAGGAGGGGGCAGATTTTCGTGAAAGGGCACTTTTGAATTGATATATACTAAAAGACGTTTGCAAAACATCGGGAGTTGAACTTCGCCTAATCATGTTTTCTATTTATTGGATGATAGGGATGTGAGGGGGTTCTCCGCCAGGCGAATGTGCTATTCTTGAAGAGCGATGACTGCATTTCTTGTGTTTTCTGAAGCAAATTCGTAAAAGAATTGCACTAACATTTCTGACAATTCGCTATTTCGCCAAGGCAATCCTTTAAATTCAAAGGGCACCTTTGCCCCCCTTGCCCCTCCTGGTTAAGGGCAACGGGGGCTGCTGCCCCTCCTGCCACCCAGTTTCGGCGTCCCTGCGCCTACGCCCCCCACCCTTCACCGGTTTTGATTTGGTTCATGCCGAAACATGTTCACTGTATGAAACCACATACACTGATGAAAACCGGACATGCATGAGAGTTAGCAGTCACGAGACTTGTTAGCTGTTCTTAATGGCGCCTCGCCCAACACTGTCATGTATTTCTATACAAATTGAAACAAAGGGGCTAGCGCTTAAAAGTGCCAATTTCACGTGTGAAAAAATGATATGGTTCAAACACCTTAAATTTCAGGACTTTCAAGGACATTTTCTCGTTTTCAAGGGGTATTTGAAATGTCAAAAGTAATCGATACGTTAATACCACTGGGACTGGAATATTTAAAGTTTTCAGCTCTACCAGTTTTTCATATAGGCGGTAAGGTGGCTTTCATCAGACTCCAGTCTCCAGCTAAGTACACAAGGAATTCCTTTAAAGGCACAGAGTCACCTGCTGACCGATGCGGTTTTGTGGAAATTCTCCACGTTAAAACCAAGGTACGGTAAAGGAAATGTTTCAAATTTTTTCCAGCGAAAACTTCAACTTCAACTGATCTAATATTATTGTTACTACATTTCACTGTACTCCTTCGTATATTTTTTATTTCTGTATATATTTTTGGGTATCGTTCTCTATTAAATACTACAAAAATTAACATATTCATAATATATTTTTAATATATATAAGTATATATATCCTCCACGTCTAAAGGCGGATTTCCAGTCCTCGCACGAAGCTCCTCGCAGCTCGCTGCGAGTGATACATGAGCACTTTCATCCAATCACAATGCTAAACAGTTCATTTTAATTAGATGCATGTACTCGCAGCGAGCTGCGAGAAGATTCGTGCGAGGAGATTCGTGCGAGGACTGGAAAACCGCCTAATTAAGAGTCTAGCTGAGATGAGTACACAAATAAAATAATTGCCTGATATCTACACATGCGCAGCATGGATCAGGCGAAATTACGACAGGCTTTATATGAACCGAATCCCATGCTTTAAAAACCACGGCCAGCCGCTAAGTTAAAAAATAGAAATAGAGACAGATTTCCAAGAAATCTATCCTAAAATTCAATATATAAATGACAAGACGATTTTCATACAGTGCAAAACCCCGCACAGACGAGGAAGCTAGTTTTCCTTGATAAGTTTCCTTGTTACTTTTGCTTTGCCGTATGTATGATCAACAAGTTTTCTTGACAAGTTTTGCTTAACATGCAAATTGTGTTTTCGTATGTGCACAGAATGCTATTAAACATTTATTTCACTTGAAAATAGCTTTTGGCTTGCCAAAGCGATGGAAATATTTCCTGTTCATGTCAAGTTCTCGTTGGCGGCCTGTCCTTATTCCAAGTCACGTGACTAGCTTTAGAACAAGCTAGGGGTCTGTCAAGAAACGATCATCAATTCTTAGTAATACACCCGTGTAATTAATAGAACTTGCCAAGGACAAGGAAAAGTTTCCCGTCTGTGCGGGTCTTAAATCTTCAACTTTATTTAAATGTCATCTTCAGACGATGACACTGATATACGATCATTGTTTTATTGTATGGAACACAGTGTTTTTTTAACAAAGTGTGGCGTTTTCCACAAAATTATTGTTCATATCCCCCCTCCCCGTGTTTAGGTATATTCGCAAATTGCTCTAAGATCGAACATACAATGCGTAACTCCTCTCTTCTTCACAGAGCCACCTTACGCATGAACAAGTAACTTGCATAAAATTTCGATCTGGAACCCTCTGCGCGCTCACGTTTCGCATTCTAGAAACTTCATATAAGCGTCAGCATGCATGAGCCTGCAGTGTAATGAGCTGAGAGGCCAAAACGTTTCGCTTGAACGTTTTTAAACATTTCGAAAAAAGCGACTGAAAATCACGGAAAATTAAAATGCATCTTAATCAAAGCTGTTGATTTTCTTAAACGATAAAACTCGCTGATCATTATATGTAACGTTTCACTTTTCACACCGCTGAAACTTCACTGACACGACTGACATTTCATTTGTTTAAACACTGAAAATGAAATATCTGAACAACGAAACATGGATTCCGGGCGAAGTAAAAATTGATAAAAACAACTATGCTGTTTTAAAAGTCCTTTCGTTTAAGAAAATCAGTTAGTTTTCAGTCATATATATGCACTTTAATACTGAAGATTAGATTTGACTTCCACTATACCGCAACCATTTACTGCCTATAAATACGCATATGATTGGTCAATCGGGTAGATTAAACGCAGGTGATTGGTTAATAGTCCTCTAAGTCAGGTTACCATATGGTCGTAATGGTGGTAAAGATAGAGTCATGATCTTTCTCAACGACCAAATTATAATGGTTTTGGTTACCTGTAAACCACATATAAATCATAAGTATTCTCTATTTGTAACCACTCTGCCTATTTTCAGTTCTAAACTGTTGTATTTCGGCTGTTGGGAAAGATCGTGACTCGGTCTTGGCAACCGTTACAACCATATATGGAAACTAGACTTTAACTGCTGCGGTAGTGAAAGTGAAAGTCAATTCTAAACCCCACTATCAACAGATTTAAGACCACCGGTTAGGTCACACCTCAAAGATTACAAATTTCTCCACTGCCCAGTCATAATTGGGCTGATTAACTCCTCCTTGCGCATTCCTTTTAAGCAGTCAGCCAATTTTTCACGTGAGAAATCTCTCTTGTGGTTGAACATCGATAAGATTTTCTCAGCTCTGTCACGGTTATCATTGTACATAGTGTTTTGTCGAATGTCATTCCTCTCTTCTTTGGCTATATCCATGAGACCAGCGAGGCTGTCCCAGTCAACCGTTATGCGTCGGCTAAGTCTATGCATTTCACGAGGTGAGAGAGGCGTGTTTCTTAACACAACGTTTTCGTACGGATGGACTTGTGGTTCCGTTGGTGATGGTTCTATTTCTTCGATCTATTTGGAGAAAGATAATCCTTCATTATCTTCTATAAGAATAGTTAGGGTCCAGTTAGGTCTTTTGCAAGATGTTTCATTACTTACATATACACAGTGGTCAATGTCAATGTATTAACAAGCAAACAACCACACAAAATATCATTATTATTAGCATGATATCATTTTCAAATATGTGAATGAAGATTACCCGTACTATACACAAGCTAATTAGATGGTCAGTCAATTAAAATAAAACATTGATATATCGAACTGTTCTAGAAAATATCTCCAAATTTTAACACATAAATAATAAATTACGGTTGACAACCACTCTCACTTTCTAAAAAAGCACATCCAATGATATTTTGCATAGTTTTATAATTGCTTGTAACAAAAAATGCCATTGACAGTGCTTTTTAGATACTTTTTTAAGCTTCGTGGCCGGTTTCCAACTGTGTGATCAACTGTGTGATCGCTTCTACAAGGATAACACAAATGCTCCACGTCTATACATAACTCCAAACGAAAGCTCGTAAGACAAAAGAAACAAACTCGATGGTCGAAAACCAGGGTAATGAGTTGGACAGGTTTAACTCGAATGAGGAGTGGGGCATCTTACTCATTACAGAGGAAATTTAAATCACGAAATACCTCATTTTCCACAGGATGTAATTCATCTTTCAAATCTTGTCGTTTCAGTTCTTCGACGCATTTTTCCAGAATATGACGACTGAAATCCCACCTGCCGTTAAAAAGCTCTAAAATCTGTCCAGCTTTCGCATAAGAATCTGGGTATTTCCGGTCGTTGATTCTAATTTCCTCTCGTTCAGAATACGGAATATCCAACAGTCCTGCTAAACTGTCCCAGTCAACTCCAACTCCGCGGCTCACCCGACTTATTTCACCATTTGTGAGTTTTGTGGTCCGATACACAACTAGAAATAGAAAACAAAGCATAATCAACTTTGATGCACGTGTAAGATAGTAATTTCTGTACACGTTTTGTAAACAATTTTTGAAAACGACTATAATGGTAAATTTTACTTTTGGAACAGTTAAAACATGAAATGTTATGTTCCGTGAAAAACGTCAGGTTGACAAACAGGGATTATTCTAAGCTGGATATGTAACCATTATTTATTGTTGTAAAAATACTTTTGGAATTTTAGTATAAACAAAAGATCAAACTGTACTGAATATTACTCATATAGGATAATTTTATTAAGGTTACAAAACACCCTTTTTGGCATTTTGCGGAATCAAATTTTCACCAAATGTTCGCCAGTGTATGCAAAATATGGTAAAGTTGTAAAATTAACAAACAATAAAATAATATAAGAATTATTCAGGAAATCTTAAATCGCGGTACCGTTACGCTTTTGAGTTGTGCTCCTGCTGGTTTTAAGTTATATTTATGAAAATATCATTTTTATACAGTAAAATAGTTGTTCTAAAAAATGGTGTTCGGAATTTTTTGTTTATTTCGTCATTCCGCTGATATGGCGATTTCTTTTACGACTGCAATATATTTCTGAATTGTTTGAGTGAATTGCTCCTTATTAATAAAATATCCAAAATTAGAACAAAGCCAATTGAACACAATTTTGAAACTGACGTCTTTAGCTATGTCCTGTGAAAATTTGAGAAAAATTTGTCAAAACCCGCAGGAGCACAACTCGTTTGAAAATCAGTAATTACCGTAAGATTTTTCGGGAGAAAATTGAATTTGAATATTACATTTTCAATGTTTTTCTTATTCCAGCGAAATGTATTTTATTAAATAACTTTGCGAGTTTTCAACATTTTTCGTTCAAACTTGGTCAGATAGTAGAACTAGTCCAATGCTTTCATGGAAACCAATAAAAAAATTTTAGGAAAAATTAACACTCAAAGGTGTTCTGTAACCTTAAATAAAATAACATGCAGGTATTTCACAAGGAAAATGAATCACTAACATGTACAATGAAAAATTTCAGCCACAGAAGTGACCAATCTTCCAGAAATTTGAAAGTGTTTGTGATGTTGCTCTGAGTGTGTCCACACTGGCGGCAAGCTGAAAGATGTGCTTGACCGCGGTGGCAATCGAACCTGCAAACTTTGATTTGCTAGTCCAATGCTCTACCAACTGAGCTATATATACATGGTCAATATCTACCCGAGCTTCGATATCAGTGTGTTTTTACAATCTTGAATTCTTGTTGCTGGTGTCGCGCACACAGGTGAAGATATATTTTATACAGCAGTCTAAACCTTGCCCTTGGTGTATGTAATGGTGAGAACAGACCGAATCATTTGCTGAGACTCGGACCGAGTCACTCGGTCCTTGGTGATAAGTATATGGCGTATTTTTTGTCGTGTTATCAAGACAACACATTAATTCCTTTTCACTGCATATACTAAACCTGGAAACGGCCGTCGAAATTCTCCAAAACAAACCGCGATTAAGAAAGCTGTAAATAAGATACTCAATGTAGTCGAATAGATGTTTCACTTATGTTTTGAGATATCTTAAGTTCTTAGGGTTGAACAATTTCCTTAGAATAATTCCTGTTGGCAATAGATGAACTTGGATTTGCACAAAACATGCAAAACAATCTTCAACATTGTCATTGCTATCACTGAATCTGCAAAAAACTCGTGCAAGTATTCGAAGCTGTTTATTCCATGCATGATGGCCAATCGCTATCACTCATCTATGCGTATAAGGCCTATAGGAGCTGTGCGTCAGCTTACAGCACAAAACCAGAGAAGTAACAAACATCTCAGATAATAACTTTGAACAAGTATATACCTTGTGGTTCGGGGTCTGGTTCCGAGTCTAAAATGAAATAGAACAGCTGTCAGTACTGGAATGAAATAGAACATCAATAGAGCACAAAAGCATACAAAAAAGAGTACTTTATAATTTAGTGTGGTTATGTTACCAGGAAGTTTCATTGTAGTGGTAGTATGTTGCACTGATAAAAATCTTTATTTACAGTTTAAAAAACGTAAAATATAAATCAAGCTTTCGGACTAAGCGTCCATCGTCAGGATTAAAATGGCAAAAATGATCAGTCGCTTAAATACTATTTACATGTCAATGACCTAACTAAAATACTAGGTTTTTTGAATAATTATACTAAAAGACAAAAGAGTCATAATAGAGTCATATAAGCGTAATATAGAGTCAACAAAAGAGCCATAATAAGACACTGGATAAAAGAGTCATAATAGCGTATTATAGCGTCAACAAAGCATTATTTAGTCTTTATCAATTAGCGTTCTAAAAACTTCCGGCAATGTTCTGCCATTGTCTCTATTGGCAATGGCACTCTTCTCATTTTCCATAATCCAGGCTTCCTTCCATTTTCTATGCGACCACCGACTTTCCTTACATACTACCTTGGTATCATCCCACACAATGCGATGATCATTGTCAACTACATGTCCTGCCAAAGCTGAGTTTTCCACCTTCCCATTCTTTACACTTGCATGATGTTCTTTTATTCTTGTTCCTAATGCACGACCCGTTTCACCAATATATTTAACATCACAATCCTGGCAAGGGATGGAGTAAACGACGCCTGTTTGATCTAAGTGAGGTAACTTATCTTTGGGCTTCATTAAATAATTTCTAAGCGTTGAAACCGATGTTAAATATATTGGTGAAACGGGTCGTGCATTAGGAACAAGAATAAAAGAACATCATGCAAGTGTAAAGAATGGGAAGGTGGAAAACTCAGCTTTGGCAGAACATGTAGTTGACAATGATCATCGCATTGTGTGGGATGATACCAAGGTAGTATGTAAGGAAAGTCG